TCCTCTTGTCTCTTGCTCTTTGTTGTTTCTATTGCAATTGGTTTTGAGTTCACCATTAGGACCCCAGTCTAACCATCATCCGGGTGACTTGGTGCTGTCCTCCTAAATGACTCACTCCAATGCTTTGTATTCACATTTCCTTGGCCTCCTCCTCTAGTTTTAATTTTTTCCTATTATGCCCCACTTCCCTGGTTGCATACTGGACCTTGTCCTTGCCAGGAATCTGACACTTATTTGCCACCTCTATCTCAGTTCACTCTCCTCCTGAGCACCAGCCACTTCTTCCACCCTTATGTCTGGGATGTCCCAAAGGCATCCCTTATTCCTCATCTTTTACCAGGTCCTATTCAGATTTCCAATGGTCTCTGTTCCTCATATGGGCAAACATGGAATTCTGAGAGCCACCACTTGGCACTTCTCTCCTTTCTCATCCCATTTGTACTCTACCACCTTGTCATATCACCCTCATGTTATTTCTGTTTCCATCCACTTCTCTCCACTTCCACCATCACATTACTCCCACTCCAGTCAAGGTTACCATTATCTTTACTCTTAAACTTCCAAACAGCTTCTACAGCCTTCCTCCCTTCATACTGGTGTCACCCCCAGCTCAAGTTCATATCTTACACTGCAGCATGGCAATCTGTTTTAAAACATTTCATCATCTCCTCTTTGGTACATTTTGATTGTGACTCAATGTTGTTAGCATGCAGACCAAAAGTTGTGTTGTGACCTTCACATTCCTGTGTGACCTGGCCCCTTCTTACCCTTTGCTAGATCCACATTCCTCACGGTTCTCTCTTCTTGAGTGATAGCACTCAGAGATGGCATTCATATATTTTTTAGCAGTCAGAGATGGCATTCAATATATTTTTTTTGAGATTGATAAAAACCAGTGTACTTGATTTTTCTATTGCCTATTTTTATTGGTATATTTTAATTGTACATAGTAAAGGGTTCAATATGACATTTCCATATTTTGCTATTTAATATGAAGCAAAAATAAAAGTTGTAAGCAAATTATCTTATATAGTGTTATGTCACCAGCTCAACATATAGTAAATGGTTTGACAGGAAGTAACCATTAAAAAATGGCATGATGGGATTTTAGCACAAAAAATGGTGACAGAATGGAATAATCTATTTTTTTGGTCGGTGTTGGATTGAATCAGGGCTTCCATTTGCTAACGGCAGCTGAATCTTTACTGCTTGAGCCACGCCTCTAGCCCACTAATCCATATTTTATGTTGATGACTATATGTATAATTGCAATGTCCTGGGGAAGAGGACCTCCTATCTCCCAGAATTACACAGTAGTAAAACCTATCCCCATGTGATGTTTAGGAAGCACAGTAACTGAAACAAAGTAGCTAGTTTTTAATCTTTCACCCCCAAACTCGTTTCTTTTTGAGACAAGAAAGACATTTCCTGAAGTTCTGAAAGTTTTAAAAACACTTTTGTTGCCAGGTAATTAAGAGAAATTAAAAAACTGGAACTATTTGGTATGAAAATTGCTTTCCAAACCAGTGTCAACCTTGAATTAGTTTCCATGTGTAAATCAAAAGTCATATGGGCACTGTGTAAGTGGCAGGAGGGACATAGGACTGTCATGTGATCTATATAGTATGTCATTTAAGGCAATTAAATATCATGCAGGATATGATTCCTTCTGATGGAGTCAATTAATATAGTGGTATATCAAGTATTTGTGAGTCACTTTTTATTGGAAGGCTAATTTAACTCAAAAAACTGTTTCTACTTATTTTTAGATGATCTAACCCAAGAGGTCATTTCGAGTTTCCTGTTTTCCTTCTTTTACTCTTGGATTCAAATGATCGTTTTTCACAAATGCAGCTGTTATGAACCCAAATGCTAATATTCAATGGGAAGGAAACAATGTGAGCCAGTTACAGCTGTGCCAGACCAACACCCCACCATCCCCACGCTCCCAGGCGTCCACGTAATGGTTCTGGTGTTGACATGGACAGGGTTTCATGTTTACAAAAGATGTCATGTAATCACTTTTCACTTAAGCCTAGGATATCTTGTTTTTTAAACATCAATCAAACTACTTTATAAAAATCAAACCTCTTTTGCCATGAAGTCTTATACTTTCTCCCTTTAGTTGTATGGGTGACGTGTCTTTTCTTTGGAACCATCAGGAACTGCCTTCCTTTTTCCAGTCAGGTCCCTGTGTGGCAGTACAGAATAGTGGTAGACTTTGACTGAGCTTACATAAATATGATTTGGTCTGGAAAATGTATCATGGCCCAGTGTACAGTGGTCAATTACTTCCCTGGCCCTTCCTTCCCTGCTCACTCACATTCTTGGGTTTTGCTGTTTTGTATGCAATATGAGCAAGCACACACACATCTCCCGCTGAGGGAATGCAAACATCTATCCACTCCTGAGAAAATGCTCATTCTCCTTAGTCTAACCTGAATTGATACTTTCTAAAGAATCACCAAATGTCTACACTATAAGGATTTCCTTCAATCCAAATATTAACGAGATTATCCTAGACTTAAGCAACTCTTTTTTTTTTTTTTTTGCAGTACTGGGGTACTGGGGTTTGAACTCAGGGCCTACACTTTGAACCACTCCACCAGTCCTTTTTGGTGATGGGCTTTTTCGAGATAGGGTCTCGTGAACTATTTGCCTGGGCTGGCTTGGAACCATGATCCTCCTGATCTCTGCCTCCTGAGTAACTAGGATTACAGGCGTGAGCCACCGGTGCCTGGCTAGACTTAAGCAACTCTAAAAGAGAATACAACTAATATATTAGTATCCCTTATCTGGAGTTTCATTTTCCATGGTTTCAGTTCCCCACAGTCAACTGCAGTCCAAAATATTATATGGAATATTCCAGAAATAAGCAATTCATAAGTTTTAAATGGCTTTTATTATAGTATATTGTTATAATTAGATATTTTGGTTATTGTTGTTAATTTCTTACTGTGCTTAACTTATAAATTAAACTTTATTAGAGGTATGTATGAATAGGGAAAAAACATACTATGCATAGGATTTGGTACTATCCATTTTCTGGCAAGCGTGGGACATCTTTGAACTGTATGTCTTAGTGATAAGAAGGGACTACTGTACCAACCTGAAGGACCCCTTAAATACACTATACATACATGGGATTGTTCTAATCTAGAACAAGTCAGTGCTGTAATGCAAAAAATAAAATGAGCAAAAGCTCTGGAAGAGCAATGCTTTTTTAAAAAAACATATCAACCAACGAAATATGATATCAATGTAGAATATAGATATAGAATCAATATCAGTAACACATGAAATGATTAAATATAATGCTATCTTTCAGACAATGATATGTAGCTGGACAATCCCTTGCCTTCATTATTATACCAACAAATTCTGCCCTGTTGAGTGGATACTGTGAATATGGATCACAGTTCTCATGTTAGAAGTTGCATATTAGAAGCTCATACAGATACTTCCTGGTTATTAGGGTTTTTTATTGTTCTTTTGTTTTGGATGCTGCTGGGGATGGAACCCAGGGCCTTGCATATGCCAGGCAAGCATTCTACCACTGAACCACACTCTTAGCCCTTGGGCATTAGAACTTTTAAAGGTTGCACAAGTTATTCTATTGTGCTGTCAGGGTAGGAAACATTGACAATTTCACCTTCTTTTCTCCAATTTGAAGTAAACATTTGAAATGCCTGAAGATATTCTGGTTGGAGGCAGTGCTACTGGCATCCAGGGAGGAGAGTCCATGGATGATGCTAAATATCCCACAATGCACAAGACAACCCCCACCACAAAGATTTTTCCAGTCTAAAGTGTTAATAGCACCAAGGGTGAGACACCATTGGGATAGAGATTGGTATCAATGGTGTGGAATAGGTCTTGTCCAATAATGATCACACTGCATTTTTAAAACCCTTGCTTTCATTGTTTTTTATTACTTTTCAAACAGAAATTCAATCATTATGTAGAAGAATTCCAGGGTGAGACATACATCTGTGCTCATTGAACACTCATTCAGTATGTTACATACAATGAACACACATTCATACCACCACACAATTCAGCAATCGTTTCATATGAGACTATAAACACTAGTCACAAAAAAATGGACTGCGCTAGTGAGGCCCAGGTACCTATTCTAACTAAAGAATATTAGTTAACACAGACCACAAACACTTCTGAAAGAGTGACTAAAGTGTCAGTTCCCTAAGTAGTCATAAAAGGAGACACAAAACAGTATGATGAGAGTCAGCAGTTCCCAAAACATACGAGGCAAAAACTAAGCATATTGTGATCTAACATAAAAATACTGAGAATAGCCCACCTTCAGTAAACCATGAGGGTCAGACTCTTTCTTTTCAGTAGACTTGGTAGGTGAATCCAAACTCTTTCTCATTCAACTAGCCCTGCCTGGATTTGCCAGACAGCTGGCTAACATTAGTGTTGCTGTCTGTGGCTACTGGACCCTTTATGCATAGCTGATTAGCCAGAATAATGGTAACCATAAAGTTGGCCGAAGTCACACTGTGCTTAAACCAGCTGAATTCATCAATTCAGCACAGGGATACTCAAGCAAAGAAGAGCCCCAAAACAGCTCTTAATGACATTCCATCATAGAAATCTAGTTTACGTAATAGAATTGAACTATATAAATCTATACAATTAAAAACTCCACCAAATTCAACCATTATGCTCCATGGAAGAAGATACAATTGCTCTAGTTATTTTGTCCTTTACCTCTGTCTTTGTTTTTCTCCTTTCCTAGTGAATCCAGTTTCTTTCTCAAAGATTTCTTTCTCTTTTGTCCATCTGTAAACATTAAAAGAACAAGAAATTATAAAAATAAGCATGCAAGTGATATTTTACATTAACAATAATTAAATTTGAGCAAAAGTATGACTTCTTTCTTACTTCACTCATAATTTGACATTTTAAACAGAGAAATAGCTCTGAAAATACATGAAAACCCCTGACTTGGATATCACATATAACCAGAGTCTTGATATGTGCTCTTAAGTTTTCTTTCAGTTGTGAAAAGTACCAGAAACCTCCCTCTTTGGATGTAATCTAGCTTTAACATGTTAGCTTTTGTAATTACATAAGTCTCTTCCTGTTCTTCATGCTTATACAATGAACCAAATCTCCACAACAGTCCACAGTACATATTGCTTTGGTATCTATGAGCTAGTATCATATAACTGGATAAGGAAATGATTTGGGAGTCCACAGAACTCAGGTCTAAGTATTGCTGCATCATTTACACACTGTGTAATTTTGGAGAATTCTGTGTCCTCATAAATAGGAAGAGAATTTCATATAGTTGTAAGAAGTTAACCAAAGTATGAAATGCTTAATGAGCATCCTGACACATGCTTATAACTTCAGATGTACTTTCTTTGTGGAGGCTGCATAGTATTCCATGGTAGGCTGTATTACAGCTTAATAATTCTCCCATTGATGGATTTTGGGGTTGTTTCTAATTTTTCACTATTATAAGTGGCAAAATTTTCTTTTAGCATCTGCTAGTTACAAGAAATGTACTTAATATATCCATTTAACTCACCAATTAATAAAGATATCACTCATCTCAATGGGCAGCTGCAATCAAATTCCTGTGTTGTCATCTTAATATATTGGGATTCATCACTGCTTTAATTTATTTTGGGACTGTATAGCTGTCAGTCTAACATGTGGGAGATGTGAGTCAGGAATCCACACTCTGACCAAATAACAGAGATGCAACCTATGCTGTAAGGTAACTTATGTTTAAAGGGAGGATTACTACATTGAAAGGAAGATTTACTACATTTACTAAAAAAATGTAGTAAGGAGATTCTACCCAAGAAAACTTACAAACAAGACTCTGATATCAGGAAACAACAGAGTAAGCATTCCAATTTATCCTGTAGATCTTTTGGGTGGCTGTAGGCCATTCATTCACTTTGCTTGTTACATAGTGTTTTCTTGCATGGATATACCATAGCTTATTCTTGTATTGAACTGTTGAAGGGAAATTTGTGTTATTTCTACCTTAGGGCTATTAGGGACAGTGTTTCCGAAAAGTTCTATTCATATCTTCTTCCATGCACATACTAGAGTCTCTCTATGATGGTGGTTCTGAAAGTGTAGTTCTAGAATTGGCAGCATCAGCATTGCCTGGAAACTTGTTAGAGATGCAAATTCTCCATGGTTCTGCCCATACCCATGGAATCAGGGGTGGTATATGGCAATGTGTGTTTGAACACACCATCCTGGGGATTCTGGTGCACACCATAGTCTGCGACCTGTCACCCCAGGGTATATATGTAAATGCTGCATTGCTGGTCAGCATGCATGCAATTGTAGGCTTTATTAGGCAGCATCAAAGTTTTCAAAGGAGTTTTGCTCATTCTTGTTCCCACCAGCATGAGAGTTTACCTAGTCCTATAAGGATAATGTATACTTGTTCCAAAACTCTAAATAACATCTTGAAGCCTCCTTATGGGCAAGGTGTGATTTTTGGTAATAATGACCTACAATAAAGAACACTTATCTATTTGCATTAAATACTATCTTTTTCACTGCTGAAACAGAGATGAATACTAGTAGGTAACTATACAAAATGCTCAGTGATGTACAATGAAGTGAAATTATGCATCAGTATGCCATTTTTTCTTTCCAAATCCTCAGGAAAATGAACAGAACTGCATGTTATAAATGCTCACCCTTTCCCTTCTCCCTTATGATCAATCAAAAGTTTTCCTTGGAGTCTCCAGTTTGTGAAGAATTTCTCATCTTCTGTTCCCACAGAGCACAAAAAGCCTAATTAAGGGGATTCCATATTAAGTGTTTGTACCATATAGAACAGTTTGTGTTCAACTAGTTCCCTGAAGGGCAGTAAGTGTGAAAAATGCCATTCCATATTTGTCTTAGTTTGTTTTCTGCTGCTATAACAGAGTACCACAGACTGGATAATTTATAAAACAGAAATTTTTTTTGGTAAGACTGGGCTTTGAACTCAAGACTTTGAGTCTTACAAAGCAGTCACTCTACCACTTGAGTCACACCTCTAGTACATTTTGCTTTGGTTATTTTGGAGATGGGGTCTTGTGAAATATTTGCCTGGTCTGGCCTTGAACCACAATCCTTCCCATCTGAGTCTCCCAAGTAGCTACGATTACAGTCATGAGCCACCAGCACCTGACATGAAAAAGAAATTTAAAAGACTCACAGTTCTGGAGGATTGAGGGGCCACATCTAGTGCAGGCCACCTTGTGTTATAGCATAGTGGAAGGCATCATGTGTGAGAGAGAAAGAGATGGAACGTGTAGCCACAAGCTCTTTAATGATTGGCATCAATCCATTCACGAGGGTGAAGTGCTCATGACTTAAGCACTTCCTGTTATTCCCTACCTCCCAACACTGTTGTATTGAGGATAAAGTCTCCAATACATGCTTTTTGGGAGACACATTCAAACTTTATCACTATAATACTCTCAAACTCCCCAACTATTAATTCCCATAGAAATATCTTTATGGTGCAAGTGGTGATGGGTATATGTGCACTAACTGCTTTCAGTAAGTGTACCTTCCTACAGACAAACTGACCTATAGGAGGAATTTGGGTAACACATCCTGATCAAAGGCAGGAACAGTCACTTAGGGTTTGATCACTCACCCCGCACGTCCTTTCACATGCACTGTGGAAGTCCTCATTACTGTGGCCAGAGGAGACCATATTCTACCTGAGAGATCTCATAAGCACAAATGGCACATGTGGTCCATCTGGACATCTTCTTTGGGGTGACTAGTATTAAGCAGAGTCTTCAGGAGAGTTGAGAACAAGAAAACATGAGACTGCTCCTTTAGGACACACTTTCTGTGGACTCATTTGATTTTGAGTGGTCTTCCATTCTGAGGCTTGTTTGTTTCTCTAGCTAGACTAGAAGATGTCTGAGAGCAGAAATATGCCTTCCTAGAAATATGCCACTTTTGTTTTCCCTCCAAGTGAAGCAAGCTCTAAGAACTTGTTGACATTGTTCAAAGACAGGAAATAAGAGGTTTGGGGTTGAGACTGAAGGAACCCAGAAGTGCTGAAGTATACACTCTTAATTTTGAGGGTTAATTTCTTAATTCAGAAAATGAGGATTATAAAACAGTATTTTCCACGTTGAATTCTAGAAATAATAATAAAAATATTGTCCAAAGAATGACTCATTTTTAGTGACAGATGAGGAATAAGGGTTATCTTTGGGAGATGGATACTACATGAGAAGGGATGTAAGGGAGCCTTCTGGAATACCTAAGAAGGTTCTATATCTCCACTTGGTTGGTACTTACATGAAATATATCCCATCAAGCTGTATTTATATCCATTCATAATTATACACAATGCTACATGCATGTTATTCCTCAGTAGAAATAATATCTACCAAAAAATGTCATCATCTTTAAAGAATGGCACCAGCTTAAAAATTATATTAACTGAATGAAAACTCAGCAAGAAAGTCTTACAGAAAAGAGTTCATGCATGTTTAACTTTTGTAAACTTCTGGATACTTGTGATCTCATTTGACCAACTCAACTTCCCTGTGACACAGACACACAGTAGCAAGGAATAGTTACTGTTTATTGAGCAAGTATGATAAGCCAAGTGCATAGTGTCCACAACCTTACTGCATCCTCACAACAGCTCTCTGTAGCCTATACAATTATTGTTCCAATTTTACAGATGTGTTGAACAAGGTTAAGAGAGGATCAGATAACTTGTTTATAGGCAAACACTGGGATGTGGTAAACTCAGAACATGCATTCAGGAATATCTAATGTTAAAACTGGTTCTCTTAACCTCTACCTATGCTGTAGGGAAGGAAACATGGCATCTATTTGAGGAATGTGCTAGTAGGGCCACACATATGGACTGGGTGAGAGAGTGAGGGAAAAGAGAAGCTAGCAACTTTTAAGCTCTAAATATACACCAGGACTACCATAAGTAATTTTGTATGACATTTAAAATTTTATATTTATGGATATTACCTAATATACATCAACACACAATCCACTGTAGTAGCTTTTTGATCTACCCATTTTCTAGTTGAGGAAACTGAAAATCAAAGCATTAAGAAAATCTCCCAAGTCACAGAACTGGTAGGTAGTGAATATTGAAATAAAAGTCACATTACACCTCTTTCAAAGAAGCAAGGCTCTGTCTTGAAAAGTGTGGTTAAGAGGAGAACTCAGATGCTCATGACGAGATGCTGAAAGTGCTTTCTTTCTTTTTTTTTCTTTTATTATTCATATGTGCATACAAGGCTTGGGTCATTTCTCCCCCCTGCCCCCACCCCCTCCCTTACCACCCACTCCGCCCCCTCCCTCTCCCCCCCTCAATACCCAGCAGAAACTATTTTGCCCTTATTTCTAATTTTGTTGTAGAGAGAGTATAAGCTATAATAGGAAGGAACAAGGGTTTTTGCTGGTTGAGATAAGGATAGCTATACAGGGCATTGACTCACATTGATTTCCTGTGCGTGTGTGTTACCTTCTAGGTTAATTCTTTTTGATCTCACCTTTTCTCTAGTTCCTGGTCCCCTTCTCCTATTGGCCTCAGTTGCTTTTAAGGTATCTGCTTTAGTTTCTCTGCATTAAGGGCAACAAATGCTAGCTAGTTCTTTAGGTGTCTTACCTATCCTCATCCCTCCCTTGTGTGCTCTCACTTTTATCATATGCTCAAAGTCCAATCCCATTATTGTGTTTGCCCTTGATCTAGTGTCCACATATGAGGGAGAACATACGATTTTTGGTCTTTTGGGCCAGGCTAACCTCACTCAGAA